AGAGAACAAAGGGATGGATTGAAAGTGATAAGGCAGATGGGAGTTGAAAGGAGCTGCCAGAGAAAGGGGGGGAGCAAGGTGAGAGGCAAGGAGTGGCTGTAAGAGTGAGAAATGGGAAAGTCCTCTAGAGTGGGAGCTGTTCTTTTTAGCTCCTTGAAAAAATAGCTTCAAAATGGTATCATGGAAGTTTTTATGGAGGCAGAAGTCACCAACAGGAATCTCTCACACTGAGAAAGAAGCTCATGTCTTTTGCAAGTTAGTGCTCCCTACCTCACATCTCTAGCGGTAGCTCCAGAGCTTTTATTTACTATTTCTGAGGAAGTATTTTGGGAGGATATTAAGAAGTTCTTCAGATTAAAGCTAATGTTTCTCCTCCCTCTAAATAAAACAACAGCTAAGTTATTTCCATTTAATTAGAAATGATTATGGATGTTACTCAGAACTTAGTCGGAAAACGTTGCTGGGTTTGTGATCGCAGAGAATTTAGCCTGACCAGCGTCTTTTGTGATCATGCACTTCTTTTTCTAACTTGAGTCAGTTCTTCCGAGCCAGTTTGTCAACATACTTGCCCCCCTTTCCACACAGCCCTTTCAGCACAACGCGCACACACATACTGTACTTTTTCCTTCTACTTGTACTATAAATTACAATGAAATGAAAACAGAAGGTTGGTCAGGATGAGCGCAAGAGTGGGGAGAATATGTAGTCATCTAGTCAGCTAACTGAGTCCCTTTTCCTGGAAATGTTACCAGCTTTACCTTTAAGATTATTCTTTGGTTATTGACCAGGCACATCCATTCAACAGTTACTTGTGAAGCTAGTTGGACTCTTTCTCTTTAAATCTCTCTTTCTTCAGAACCTCTCAGGGAAAGGATAAGTGGTGCAGTGAGGAGCTGACAGACTTCCTGGCTCCGGGTCCACCTCTACTGCTTCCAGACATCATTTCATGCCTGCGCCTTGGTTTCCTTAGTTGTAAATTGGAGGTGATAATAAAGGCCATGCTAATAGGCTTTTTGTGTTAAATGAGTGAGTATAAAGGCACTAGAACAATTTCTGGTTCAAATTAACTCATTTCTCAATAAAAGCTAACCATCGAGTTAGGAATTGTTTAATTATTCTCCAGTGACATTTACTTGAGTGTCTGTAAACGTCAAGTTTCAAGTAATAACTTCCTTTCCAAAAATGATGCTTACAATAGAAGAGTCTGTAACAAATAAAATGACAAAGGCTGTTATTGTTGGTATATTTTTTTCTTTTGTTTTAAAGGAAGTGTCAGTTTTGAGCTTAATTAATTGCCATGCAAACATTGTTTTCTGTAAACTAATATTGGCTGAGTTGTAAGAGCATAATTATTTAGCCTCATTTTTTTCCAATGAAGGGTACTCTTGGGTTTTTATGACTTTTTTGAAGATGATTTAGAAAATAAATGTCCTATTCAAAAAATTGATTTGTCACATATCAGGTCATTATTTAAGATTCAAACTCTATTTTGACCTTGTTTATGTACTCACAGAGCTGTGTTAAGGAGGCCTGCATTTACCCTTTGTATTTTGTAACCCCTGTAATCTCAAGTGAGAATTCCGTAATTTATGTCACTGGTCTTCTGTTTAGGTCTTTTAAATTCATATATCATTTTCTGATTTGATTATCACCACTTATGTTCATGAATCACAGTCATTTATATATCCATACAGTATTTCTGGAACCCAACTAGTCTCTCTTAAAAATCTTAGGGGTTTTTTTCCTCCTGGTGAAGATTTTTTTTCTTAAATTTTAGTAATTCAAAGTTCCACTCTTCATATAGCACTAAGTTATAGAAACCTGCGAAAGTTAAAATAGACCAGTGTAAAAGCACTGGGGGCTTCTGATACTGCAGATCTGGAAAACTATTAATACATATTTGAAGATTCCCTTTTGTAATATATTTTGGTTTACATATTTAAAATTAATTATGTAACTACTTTAATTCAGTGATTTGTGTCACCTAAGAAAGAAATCTTAATTTTCACATTTCACAGCCTGCCCTATACTTGAACAGTCTTATATAAACACTTTCATATTAGAACTCCAAATCAGACCTTCATAAAATTTCATTTTTCTTTCCTCCACGTGGTCTGTAGCTTGAGGAGTGCATTTCTTCCACATGCCTTCCTAGACTAAAGTAGGATCCTTGAGTTTTGCAGCTATACTGAAAAAGGCCTGATTTCGTCTGGAATTGTAATCTGTGTTTAAGGAAGACAACAAGGCAAAATCAAGTTGTGTGTCCTAGAGCACTGGTGCAGCTTTGTTATATAGAACCTACTCAGTTCATATTATTTTTTTGAAAAATGAATTTTTTTTTTTTTTTTTGTTAGAGAGCTCAAGTCTAGAAACACACACCTTTACATCTTGGGTGAGAGGCAGGGAGGAAAGTCCCATTCCTCTCCTGTAGCCTTGGTGGCCTTCTGAACTTGCTGATTGATGCTTGCTAGTCTGTCTCAGGGTACTTTCTGCTTAGGTTCCGACCTTAGGATGCAGAAATCTGCCCCTTGTCCTTGATGCTCAGTGAATAGAGGGTCACAGGTTCAGTGTTGACAGTGTACTATTTTAATTTCTTGTGAGTAGCTTCTAGATGTCTTTGCCATACTTATTGAATTTGTTAAGTTGATTTTTTTTTTTTTTATGCCCATGACGTTGATGGCTGCCTCATAGCATCCTGGGAGACTCATGTCACAGTTGAGAACCCCTCTGCAGAGAATGCCATTTGGATCATGGTCAGGGAGGCTTTGGGCGTGTCTTCCTTTGTATTTAATAGATGTTTGCAGTGGGATCTCTCTACTGTATTGTTCCCAGGAACTTGGAGTGTTTCCAGTTATGGTCATTGCACTTGGCCTCAAATCCACCTGCAGGCAATGTTGGTTATCAGCACAGTGCCACTGTTCAGATCATGAGTGCATCCATAATATCTCTCTCTTATTTGCTAGGCAGAAGATGGTGTTAGTGATTGCGAGCTGCTGGCTGGCACCCTTGCAGAGCAGGAGTAAGTGAGTGCTGTTCAGCTTTCCGAGCCTGTGAGTCTGCTGCCTCTCCTCCATGTTTTGGCACCACTGCCAAACACATGCATTGAAATCCTTCATGGTCATCAGTTTGTCAGATGATTATATTGTTGCAAAGAGTCTGTCCAGGTCCTTTGTATCTATTTTTTTTAAATTTTTGTCACCTTAGTGTATGTCCCTTGTGATGAGGTCAGGTATTGACAATATTGGAAGAAGGCACAAAATGTCTCAAGGCAAGACTAGCTGTCAAGTTTGGCAAATGAATGCCATATCCCTCAGAAGGAGAGCTTTTGCAGAGTGCCAGCGTTGTCAGCCCAGTGCTGCACGAGCTGCCTGCCGTTCAACAGAGAACATGGGCCCACCCTGTGGGGCCTCCAGGTGTCTCTGCCAGTTTGCTCGTTTTCTTGTGGAATGCTTCATAGCGCGGTGTGCTGTTGCTGTCTGCCACACCTGTGTTGAGGGCGAGAGGAAGTGTCCATTTGCTTCACAGTGCAGCACATAATAAGCACAAGCCCTTAAGGGTGACAAACCAGTGAGGCTTGGTTCACAATGGTAGACGCGTCTAGAGTCCCTTTTCTACTGTCCTCTCCTCGGGACTGGGTCCCACTGCCCGCTCTGCGCAGAATGGCATGTATGGCTGAGGGGCAGATGGCATGTATGGGAAATGGGCCCCACCTGTGGACTTGGGATTCCCCCCACTATCATCAGACTTGACCCTTGTGGCCAGTAACAGAGCAGTATGACACGGAGCCATCTGACCAGGTCTGCTTCTGAACGGTCGTCATGCTTTATGACTGGGACCAGATGACAGACCTGTCATACCTTCATCTATTTTGTGTGCTCTTCTTGAGCAAGCCCCTTACATTGGCTGTATTGTTAAGTCCTTCGCTTTTAAATTCAATGTATTCGCCAGAAATTCTCTGTTAAAAAGAACACTTTTCTGTTAGAGTCCTTGAGGTACCTTTTTCCTGGAGGTATGTGTGGCTTACAGTGGTCACAGCGTCATCCAATTATTTGGTGAACATTCACATTTCACACCAAAGGGGGGAGCCAGGAACCCTGTATAGCAAAGTAAATTTGTTACTTGCTGCTGTCATTAAGCTGGCACATGAAGGCCAGCTGTGGATATGTAAGGTCATGCTTGTGGGCCCGAGGTCCTGTGTTCCTTTTCATAGAGACTACCCATTGGAAAGCTTGAAAGGAAGAAGGGAATGAGAAGTGAGGGTTTTTATTTGCAAATGTAGAAGGAGTGAGGTTAATCTGCCCCTATTCAGGTTCATGTAATATTCCATTTTAGTTTCCTTTGAAATGTTGTCTTTCACTTGGTTACTAGTTAGGCACTTATTGCTGGGTGATTTCATACCTGAAAAATCCAAGGCATGGAGGACTGTAATAAGCAGACTTCTTTCCTCCAGCGTGGGTGGATGAATTCATCCTCTTACTTGGATTCCAGCATTTGTTGTGATAGGAATTTAATTCCAATTAAGACATGTACCAATGAAATAAAATGATTGGAAAAAAGATTTTTTATGAAGGGAGCCTGATTCCTAAGCATGGAAATCAAAACCTTTAAACTCCGCTTAGTTAGGTTATGGATGTTTGAGTCAATAATTATGAATTGGGTAATTATCATAAGTGTCAAAGAGCAAGTGATCATTAAGTTATAGATTTTTGTTTATCCCATGAAATATAGATACTGTTACTATGTAACTAACTGACTTTCTGTTAAGGTGATCAGTCAACATGGGTCTTTCTCACAGTATATTTGTGTATTATCAAAACAATGAAGCTTCCATTTTGTTCAGCTTACTCCCCTACCGCCTCCTTAGTCCTAATTCGGGGTTTTTATGGTGTGTGATAAATGAGCTGTTTACTGATTTCTTGAAGTGCAATACACATTTGGATTACTGGAATTTATTATTTGGGGGGGCATCTGGCTCATCCTTGTTTTTGTTTGTTAAACAGGAAAAGGACCAGCGCAGCCTAGACATAAACACTGCCAAGTGCATGTTGGGACTGTTATTAGGAAAAATCTGGCCCCTTTTTCCAGTTTTTCACCAATTCTTAGAGGTACCAAATTGTTACTTTATGGAATGTATGCTTGCTTGCTAAGAACTACCAAATAATATTCAACTAAACTATATTATGTAATTTTGTGTTTGTTGTACTTTTCTGCCTGTAGGAATTATGGTGGCATAATTGCCATCCCTGAGCAACTCCCTGTTTCTCCTAGGGAATGTGTGAATTGAATGTTGTGTGGCATTACACACTGGTATGGATGCGTCAGAGCCAGTCACAGCTCTGTCTTTTCTGTTCTCACCCCTATTTTAAAAGCTTTACTTTTGTGTAGATTTTCTGCATTTATAATAGTTGTAAAGATTTACTTCCTTTGTGGCTTCAGAGGAGTTTCCACTTTAATTAAGCAAATGTTAAAAAGCATTCATCTTCCTTCTTATTAAAATAAAGTTGTAATGTATTCTTATCTCCCAGTAACTTGGGGGCTTACAACTAGCTCAGTGTTAGGCAGGCCCTCCCTGGTTGCATGGAGGGTTGAAGTGTAGCACTATGAAGCTGGCCGCAGCCACTTCAGCACGAGTTCAGTCCTTGGCCAGGGAGTGACCCACATGGCACAGCAGGCCTCTCCTGTCTTGCCCGCTGCTTCCCTCAGCAGTGTACTTTATCATTCTACCTGTTCTGCTCCCCACTCTGTCTCTGGTGAATCCTCTCACCAGAGGATCCCACATCTCTGGCCTGAACTGCAGTTCTGTATGCATAAATAAGTAAATCTTAAAAAAACAAAAAAACAACTAGCTAAGTATTAGGCAAAGTGGCATTATCTCCTTTAGTTTAGTAAAACTGTTCACATTATCTTAAAAATAATACAGCACTATAGAATTCCATCATTGTTTCCTTGCTTTAGGTACAATGATGGGAATATTTTAGGAGCTGGTTTTTATACGGTGTGATACTGTAGGACCTGGAATTGGATATCTGAGTTGTAAGTTTCACTGACTTGGGTTGTCATATTGAACATCCTTCTTTAAAATGCCCTTTGCTTGAAAGGATGTGAGGGTCTTCGAGAAAAGCCAGGGTCTTGCCTTGACTCTAGTTGTACTCTTGAAATAACCTGTCCGATAACCTACCTCTGTCCGAGTAATCCAGAAACACTTCTAACAGATGTTCTTTAAGGGCTGTTTTTAAAGCTTTTATTAATATTACAAACTGGAACTCTGAGCTCAAGAAAAGTATAAAAGCCTATTTGAATATAAGGAGTATTTGTTTACACACAGCCCATGTCTACAAATGGTCTGCTCTAATTTCTCTGACAGCCCCATAAAATAAGTTAGCTCTGTTTGCAGAAGAAACAGAAATAGCTTCTTGTTCTCAGTTGAGCAGAATCAGGCTGGAGTATAAAGGATTCTTTGGCTGAGAGACCTGTCACAGGCAAATTGCACTGCACAATTCCAGGAGCATCATCATCTGTTTCACTGACTGGTTTGTTTTTTAGTTGCTTAGAAACTTAAACTTGTATTCTGTGCTTTGTTCTCTTTCTCATAGTAGCTTGCATTTCTCCTTTAATAGGACAGAGTTTTATCTTTCTATTTAAGCTTTTCTCATCTCTGTATCCCCAAAATCTTTAGCTCAGTTATTTTTGCTTTTTACAATATGTATTGTATTATTTTCCAGTGCTCCTAAGGTCAATGGTCAGGGTCTTTGTATTATCAGATCTGGTTTTATTTTTAAATCTTTGCACTGGAGGACAGTATACTACAGAGTACTACATTTTAAAATATACAGATGACATTTCTTGTGTAAGAGAAATAGAAAAACCACTTCGTGCCTATATTAATTTCTTTTGTGTTGGGAGGTTTTAATTACTAGAAGGATAATTTTTCTTCCATGGCAAAAACACTTAGTTCTGAGACTACTTGCAGCACTTATTATCTCCTCGGTGTCTCCCTGCTGCAGTGCTTCAAGCTGACTTCACAGTGAACATGCCAGTCTCGTCAGGGTCTGTCGCCGGAAGCTGTTCTTTACTTAGCGCTTACTTGAAGTCAAGCACCAAATGAGGGGCTTTACATAAAACACAAATCATATCTCCTGGAACATCGCTATGAAGTAGATATTATCTCTACTTGTTATAAAAGAACTTCTCCAGTCCAGAAATTTTACTTCTAGGAATATAAAGTTGTCTTCCTTTGCTGTGCTTGCCATTTTTTGTTGAGTCCCCATATAATAATTTTGTAACAAAAATTGTCATCTTAAGTTCTACTCTTGCTGCCTTTTACCTTTTTCCTAGATTGGTGTGCAACACACCTCAAATGGAAAGAGTGTAAATGAACATCATGAACTCTGTATTGAGATGATTCAGCAGTTGACACTGTCCCACTTGTTAATTGTGTCAGTAATTTGTACTACTTTTCCCTTTACCAGCAATCAAAATATAAAGTTATTAACAAAGACCAGTGGTGCAATGTGCTAGAGTTTAGCAGAACAATTAATCTTGACCTCAGCAACTACGATGAAGACGGAGCGTGTAAGTACCGGCGGTGGCGCCCACTCCTCCCACCCTGCCCGCTCGCTCGCCCTTCTCTGTGAACAAGCCTCACAGCTGCCTTGTTTTCTCTCTCTCTTTAGGGCCAGTTTTGTTGGACGAGTTTGTGGAGTGGTATAAAGACAAACAGATGTCCTAGGACTTTGTGCATAGCAGCGAGAGAGTCACTGTTACCACAGTTATGTCAACCATTAGCCATAAATTGCTGTTTGTGTCAAAGCGCATGCTGCTTTTCTTGCACTCTCTCCCTTTGGCAGGGGCGTTTTGGTGTTTGCTGTTGAGTGCGCCGCTCTGCTTGCGGTGCAGCGCTGTTCTCTTGGAGGCTGCTTTGCAGTTGTATTTACACTACAGATTGGTGAATTTGCCAACGTCCTCACTGTGATTATGTGTATATTGCTGTTTAAATTTTGTATATGTGTATAAAAAAAAGCTTCACCTAGAGATTATTTCTGCAAAAATGTATTGTAAAAATAATTTTTGTGGCATATTTCTAGTCCCTTTTTTCAAATGATCCAATTGTACTTTATTTGGTCTCAAATGTAGCATTTCAGAAAACAAGACAGAACAGCTGATAGCATAAGCAAATGTTGCCGGAATTAACCTTACTGTTGAAGAGGCCAACTTTTGGAAGGAGGTGGGAGTCCTAACTTTTCAGAGGCATATGCCAAATGTAATTTGGTTTTCTTAAATACTAGTGTTTTAAAAAATGATGTAAGTTATAATTATTTGAACATACAGCTATGTACCATGCCACACATCATTTCTACCATGCAAGGTATAGTTGTTTTGCTTTGTTTTGTTTTCCTAATGTTAAAGCTGTAGTAACTTGAATATAGGTACAAATGAACAAATTAAAATTGCACCTTTTTTATGGAGTTTAAACTCTTGTGAGCTTTCTTTAGGGTATTTTTTTTTTCCTTCTCTTTTTCTTTCACAATCTTCCTAGTCAGTGTTTGGGCTGCTGATGCTTCTTCCTGTGCCATACTAAATAACTTTATTTGCCGCTCCGTGAAAACCTAATGGTTTGCTGGCAATTTACGACAGAGCACTTTTAGTTGTAGTTTGAATTTTTAAGCTTTCATGATGTCTAATTTTCTAGTTTTGGGGAAAAAAAACTATATAAATGAGAGGTGTTTGTTTTGTTTTCCTTTTTTTTCTTTTATGCTAGGCTTTTCCTGGCAGAATGTCCATTGCAGGCAGTGGACACGAAACCACCAGCATTTGAGCTAAACTCTGTTTCACAGTGGGACCTTTGCCGGAGGGGCCACTCGTCATTACCTGAGTGATTTGTACAGAAAGGTGATAGCCATTATTTATGTGGATGAGGAAACGAGAATAAACAGGATGGTCTTTTTAGGTTTGTATCTTACGTCTTTCTGCTCCCCCCACCCCCTCCCCTTATCCTGCTTGAGGAATGTATAGATAACATGTTTTCCCTTCAACTATCTGGTGCTATTGAAAGACTAATTCAATCCCTAAAGTTTTGTGAAAACACAAAAAACTAATGATTTAAACTACATAAAAAGCTAATGGTGCATTTGAACAAGTGAATAAATAGTTTAATCTGAGCAAGATTCACGATTGAGCATGTAATGGTTGATAGAGGCTTGGATTACTTTTTGACTTAATGTGAACCTTTAAATGGCATTCAGTGAGTGAAGCACATAGACATTTCTCCTGACCACTTTTTCACAATTTCTTTGCAAACAGTGCTCAGGTTTTCGGATGATTTTTTTTTCTTCCCTAAGTGAACCACCAAAGACAGACATTTTGTGTGTGTGTATACGGTGTGTGTGCTTATACAAAACCATGGTATGGTAAAGTGATATTCCTTTTTCTGCCAAGTAAAAGGGTTTGGTTTGCTTTGAAATAAACCAGGAGTTTCTAAACCTCGGTAATGATTAATTATTACTCACTTAGAAATTGTAGGCTCACTTTTACCTTTCAGATTCTCACCAGTTTGCACAAAGTTAATATCTGAAAAAAATGGGAGAGACTGATGCAAGCACAGCTGCTCAGGCCAGTGTGTGGGAAGGGGGTCTGTTCTGGGGTGGGTGTGTGTTCCCTGGTGATTGGCTATTGGCAGCTTTGAATCTGTGGAGAACTTAACTTGAATCTTTTTCAGAAGTATCCCATAAAGTTAAAACAATAACACTTTTAAGACTGCAGTTCTTACATCTGATTAACTATAGTTTTGCTTAAAACAAACATAAATCATAGATGAAACTTTTTAAAAGTTATTATTAGAAAATGGAGAACATCTTTTTTTTTTTTTTTAAAAACACTAAGCACAGTTAATCCCAAAATAAAAGAATTGTTGCTGGGAAAATGTTACATTTCATCCACAATGTTTTGATATGAGGGAAACCATGTCAAAGTAAAAAATTGGGTTTCAAGAAGTATAATATCAAAGTAAGTCCTCAGAAAGGGAAATTTTGCACAATGAGGAAACTCCAGATATGTTCATTCAGCTCCCCTGAAAAAGAAGCCTTTGTGTCTGCATAGAGTTTGCCCCTGGTCTTCTGATTTTGTGTAGTTGTTTGTAAGGTGGAAAAAAAAGGCATCGGACAGAAACATTAAGAAACTTTTAAAAAAATATTCCCTGGTTATATAAAACTGAGCAGTCATCAAGCACTTACTTACTGGCTAATGCTAAATAAATTGGGTGCCTTTTTCTGGTTTTCCTTTATCACTTAAGTCTATACCCTTCTTCTGTGTCCCTTGTATTTTGTTCGCCACACTGCTCTCATAATGGGATACATGTTTACTGCTGCAGTAGGTCAGAAATGTCATGATTTGATTTGCCGTAAACACCCACTATAGTGTTACATGCAGCTTTTTTAAAGCACGAACTCTGAATTAAGTTTTCTAAATCTGATAAATAGACAAACCTAGATCCTAGTTTAATAACAAATTTCTGTTGCCTCTCAGTTGCCATGTTAACAGTGCTTTTGAAGTTTATACAGAAAGCTTTAAAACTTAGTTTTGCCCTTAGTTTTTATTCTTACAACTGCTAAAATACCTCTGTAAGCCTTATCTTTTATTCTTTCTCATGTTGTATAATAAATGTATAGAATTCATTGACCAACTAAAATGTTGGGTGTTTGTAAATGAGACCAAAATGTTGGGTTGCTTTTTTTCATAAAATAATTTCTCTCGGGGGTTACTGTTAAATGAACAGCAGCCAGCCTGTAACTGTGAATGCTTCATGTCGTCAGTATTTGCATTACATTCATAAACGTGTGCAAGTCCTGTGACTCCCAGCTTAACTAAAATACTGTTATGCCACCTAACTTGAGTACAGAGAACTGGTTTTAGATTTTAATGGAATTAATGTAAAATGATATCCCATAAATAAAAAGTATTTGTGTTTGGTTTCAGAACTGATTTCGGAATTGTTTCTTCTCTGATTTTTTTCTTCAAAAACCACTGGAGGTAGTTTTAAAGTATTTTACTTTTCATTTTTTCCCTCCAAATTTGTTACTTGAATTCTCAAAACTACAGAAATGATATAGGAGCATGAGATGTGTTTTATAAGGAATACTGGTAGCCCACATAGAAATTACAGGAATTGCAGTAAAAGTGTTCCAACATGTAACTGGAACAAGATAGACTGGAGAGAATAAACGCAGTCAGTGCCTGCTCGAGTCAAAAAACCCAGGTGAGGTGCAGACATACCCAAGAAGGAGAAAAGTTACAGGAAGTTCATGCTAAGGGAAAGACGGTCGAAAAATAGCCTTTTGAAATAATGGCATGAAGAGTAAAGTAAGCTGAATAATAAAAATCTTTATCCACAGTAGAAAATGGCAGCCTGTTGGGTCAATCCCAAGGCTTCAGCCAGTGAGGAGAAAGAACAACTACTTCTGCACAACTTGATTTGTTTAAACACAAGAAGGCAGGTTTTGTTTTCCATGGTGGTGTAATGTGTGTTACAGCAAACTGCAATGACTCATTTAGCCATTATACCCAAATCCTCGTGAAGAATAAGTTCTAGACAGAAGATAAAGTCTTTATTATATTTTTCAGAAAAGAATTGCCTCTGGAACTTTTTATAACTAGAAGGGAAAAAAGAACTGTGAGGAAATAACATATCACACTTTCCAGCCCTGTCTACTTACCTAAACTTGTAGGCAAAAGAGAGTCCAAAATAGGACATGTTCACCACTGTGGGCACAGTCAGCAGCAAATGGTTTGGATTTCCACACTCCTCCCTACCCCTACCACTGGTTCCTAACATTTATCTTCAATTGTTTTAACAGAAAGTAAAACCATCCCATGTATAGCAGTGTTGGCTTAGATATAGCAGTGTTGGCGTAGAAATCCTGGTAATTAGGCTATGCTGAGAATAATAACTGGAAACTAAAAGAAAAACATTTACTATAGTAAAGAGATGGAAATCTTTAAAACACTTAATATGTAAATCTCTTCTCCCAAAGAAATGTATTCAGTCTTTTGAAAGAAATTCTTTTGCAATCACTGTGAAGAATGTGGACTGTGAAGAATCCTGGCAATGAGAAAGTAAACGGAAGAGGGTTTGTGTTTTACTCTAACACTTTCCAGCACAGAGACCTCAGCTTTGCCTACATTTGAATATCTGAAATTCAAACGAGTGCTCTCCAGAAATCTTAGGATAAATATGTGATGATAAAGGAAGCTGCAGATGTATTCATTTCCAGTAAATCAGAGTTTTGTACCAACTTGCAGTAGAATGTTGTCTCTGCTTGCTTATTTCTTTTGACATCATTGCCTGTGGTGGCTCTTTGTGCTCTTTGAGTAGAACTTGTTATTATGTTATCACAGTTACTCCAGTTCACGGAGTAAACTCAAGGTGGTACCTTTGAGCAACCTTACCTGCATGTGTGTTATGGAGCTTTGAAAGGCGCCTCGCCTGGTGATCCATCAGCCAGGTTTACAACAACTGGGCCTGGGAAAGGATGACAGGTATAGAGGACAGGGAACTTGTTCCAAAGTTCACCTCACCGAGGGTCAGAGTGTGCAGGGGAAGTGCTTGGGGTGGGGTTTTCTTTGGGCACTGGGCTGCACATGCTTGCTTTATTGCGTGTTTGCATACAGATTACAATGTTGGAGCAGCTAGAATAAAGCAGTCAGGCAATGTGGAGACAGATTCCAGATTTAATTTGGGCTTCCAAATACTGGCCAGCTGGGGCCATCACCCTCTAGAGAGAGAGGCCTCGAGCAGTTACAGAAAGCAGTTTTTATACATTGCAGGCAAGGAACCAAAACTTAGCTGTTACAGAGATAACATTCTTACAGAGATAACATTCTTACAGTGGGCTCTAGGATGTTTGTCAAGTCTTAAGGAACCATATGACCCGCATCCTGGTCCTGATTACAGATGGTAATCCGTTTTACAAGTTTTTTTTTTTTCCTTTTACAGCAAAGTTATTTGGGGAATTTCCTATTGTAGCAAGCAGCAAGCAAAATACAGAAGCAAAATGGTGTTAGCTTGGTTCAATACTGGGCCAACAACGTCTCATGGCAATGTTAGCTCTCTGGATGTGATGTGTAGTGCTGCAATGAGGCCAGTGCCAGACTGGCTTCCTCTGCCCACCTGGGTTGGCTGGTTTTACCCAATTCTGTGGGTTTGGCTCTTCAGTACCCCCTCTCCCCCTTCTTTGTAAGAGCTCAGCAGAACAATTTCTCAACTTTTATCCCAGATTCTTACCCAGGTGGCTATGAGAGCACACAAAAACCCTTCAAGTCCTTACTCCTCCTCTAGCAAAGCTGATTGTCAGGATTTCTGTATTACTAGAAATTCTAGTAGTACTTAACTTTCATAAAAGTCTCAAAGATAGAGCTTAGTACATAAAATGAGGATTTGAACCCCAAAAGTATTCTTAACATTTTACTCTGCAAGGACTTGTAACAAACTCAATTTGAATTTAGTTTATGTAGGAAGGAGCAGTGAATCTTGGACATTCAAAATGTAATTATTCTTGACAAAGGTTCTAAGAAGTTCTCGTTGTTCTAGCCTAAAGATATGTTGATGCTGTCTTTGTGCAGAGAAAAAAAATGCTGGAGTTTTATCTCTTCCTTTCTAAAGAATGCACTGTGGTGATGTGAAGGCTAGGTACCCATTATTTAAATCTTACCAGATTTTTGGTCATTAATGGGGGTTGAAAAGGCTGATGTTACAGATGGCAGAGTTTGCATAGCTGCTTCACAACACTTAAGTCGGCAGATGTCTTTACTCTCAGATCTGCTAGACCAGAGAGAGGTGGTTCACTAGCATTTTATAATATGTTCACTCTAATCACTGTAGCAACAAACTTTAGTTGTTGGTTAGGCAGGATTCCTGCATCCAATTGAGAATACAAGCTTTATAATGAACACATGTATATGAAGGGGAATTAAGGTCAATTGGAGTAAAATCAACAGACAAGAATTTGCCTGGTCTGTACCCATGCAGAGAAAGTGGCATCAGTGCATCACAAATTGTAGAACAGAAAGACAGACTGGGTTGGAGCTGAGAGTTGGAGAGCAGGGTTTTAGAGCATAGACTTCTTCAAGAGGCCCAGCAGGATGTGCAAAGATAGCAACAGAGGTGGTACAGGTCAGGCTTTTCAGGATGGAGGAGTTTGTGGTCATCACCAATAATAATGAAAAAATGCCAATGGAAAAAATGGAGACTTTTTTAAAGGCTGGAGAATGGACTGAAGCAGGTACCTAAAACAGGAGTTGAAAAAGGGTGTTTTCCTGGCTGAGGTACTGCCTTCCAGGTTCCTACAGTTCATTATGGCAGTGTGCTACCATACTTGAAACAGCCCACACAGCACAAGGATTCAACCAGGCGTGAGATGCTCTCTTTACCCTTCTCATAGGAAGGTTTGAACTGTTGCCATTTGGAACCTTTGACCCAAAGCCTGCCACACCTCAGATGGAAGTAGTTGAAGCAGAACACCCCAGTACATTCTCTGCAAGAGAGGTGTAGGGTGGAAGGTCAATGTTCCAGGAGGAGCCCATCCTTCCCTAGGCATAGCCAGTAGGCATTTTGTAGAGAGCAGAATACCCATGGGAAGAAGACCCCAAAGATTCTGGAAGGAGTGTGGGAAGCTGATGTGCTGGGAGGTCAAAGAGTAAGCATTGGGAGCTGTAAAGGGGTAAGGGGGGTGGTAGGGGAACCTCTGCAGGGAGATACCGGGAAGGAGCCAGCTCGAGTTGTGGATGGAAGAGCTTGGGAATGAAGGAGATGGGAGTAAGGGCTCCAAAGCACAAGGAGAGGGACAGGAGAAGAGACCAGATTGCCCCGAGATA